TGGGCATACAAGAAGATATGGGCTTAAAGCCAAATCTGTGCTAGCAAAATATTATTGGCAACAATCCATGCCATTTGCCAAGGCAACAACTGCATTCTGGGATCGAGTGAGGTTTAATGTGATATTGTGGTGGTATTGAGGCATTGTTGAAAATTGGTCATAGGAAGTATACAGAGCCTTTCTGTATAGCAAACTAGAGGAAAGACCCAATAGTGAATTTATTGCCTAATATTGATCTAGCTTATCATTGTTGCTGATATGCTAGGAGACTCGTCTGAGTCATAGTGAAACGAGCTTAAGACTTTGAACCAGATGAGTTGACAGTGAACACCCACGTTGGTATTCTCCTTACTAACTGCATGATTTCTGGCAAATCACTGAACCTCTCTGAGCCTAAATGTACTTTTTTATAAAATTGGAATAATAATTTCTAGATTATGTGATTTTAGGGAGACTTATACAAGATAATTCAGGTAAAGTTGCATTGAATAATGTTTATCACATATCTATATAGTCTATCAGTTAGAAGTGTAGTATTTTGAATCTAAATCTAAAGAAAGATGTCAGTAAGAATTGGGAAATATATTGGGGGTTTGCATTGTAGAAAGCAATCCTCCAGAGATGGAGAAGGAAGTGTTTATACAACCAATTAGAACATCTATATCTTCCACTAATTAGGTAGCTTCTCTCAGATATGATAGTCACACTTCCAGATATTACCATACTTACCTCACATATAGGTGGCAAAAGCCTGTTTGAAAAGGTGAGACCAAAAGAGGACAATGGAACTTAATATGTTGGAAACTTTATTTTTATAGGAAAGGTCCATTTTCCCTAGCTCACCTTGTTAAATGTTTTAGGGTTTTTTTCATTTTTCTTGGTTTAAGAGTCAGCTTAATTAGTTAATCTTGAAGTCTCCAGAGGCCACAACATCCCTGTCTTTCATTTTTCAATTTTTTTAGTGGAGTTCGGGCCAATTCATGACAAAAGTTTTAGCTATTCAAATAGCTCATGTCTGTTTCTCTAGGAATATGCAATTTAGGCTATTGTTTTAGGTGGCTTCAACTGTCTGGAAAATTCATGTTTTTATGCAGGCAGCTTATAGAGATTCATTTCCACAAAAGTTTTTACTGGTCTCTTCATATTTTACATTGCTTTAGTCTTAGTCAGTAACAGTGGTCTATACAGCAGGTTATTGTGGGTTATTGTAGTAACTTTTATTTTAAGAAGAGGGGATTGACTTCTATTTGTTTAACATTGTTTGGGCAAATTTCTATCTGACAGCAGAGAATGGGAAATAAAATGACTTTTCAAAGTATTTCAACTTTATGAAGCTATGAGAGAGTCAAATCAGTTAAAGTAAATAAATGGATATCACAAGTCTTTATTGTGTCGTTGATGACTCCAATTAAGGATAACATTAATTTATTTAGTGCCTATTTTTGTCACATTGTTCTTAGATGTTCTCCACGCAGGCTAAGCATTTTATGTACGTTATCTCTTTAACCACAACAACAAATCTGTAAGGTCAAAAGTATTATTTCAACTTTAGAGATGAATCAATAAATAAAGGCCTTGAAGAAACAGTAGGCTATTTTCTCATATACCTATAGATAGTGAGTAAAAGAACTGAGACTAAGAATATGGTTTATCTTGAGTCTAAAGATCATGATCTTTGGCCTATGTTGCATTTTCTTTGTGTTAAATTGTATTTATCATATTATATTTATTGTGGGCACCACAAGTCTTGAAAAGTGTAAATCGTAGAACGCTGAAAAAGTCAGGCAAATAATGAAAGAATTGGATTTGGGGCATATACAGATAGATTAAAGGTTATTAAATAAAGCCCAAGTTGTGGGGAGGGGTTTTAAACACATATGATAAAAGATATAAATGCTAGGTGGAATTGGAATTATATATAAACCAGATCAACATTATATAATAAGGATTTTAATGAATGTGGAGGCTATTGAGTATTTGACAGCCTCTATAGAATAAAAAGCTATTGGATTTTGAAACTCATCCCATGGGAAATATTGGACACTCAATCACTTGAGGAATAAAAGCTAAATTGGATAAAACATATCTCTAATCTCCAAAATGATCTCTCTGTGCAAAATGCACGCACAAACACACATACCATTCAGAGGTACTTTTAAGCTTTACAAACTACATATCTCAGTGCATTTAAATATTAGTCTTAATAAAGAAAACACTTAAAATGAAAAACCTTTTTAAAAATTAATTTGCAGTAGAAACTAAACTATTGAAGGATAAATTGTAGAAACTGAAGATTCTTTACAGTTAGATGGAAAACATGCAAGTCATTTAAAAATAATTAGTTTTGCAAAAATACACATGAATGGAAGGTCTTGGAAAGGAGGCAAAGAATTAATTTCCCCAAAGACACTGCAAATAAAATTGTGGTTGGCACTTTTCATTCTGCAGAAACACCTTTTATTGGTATCTTGTCTGTTCTCTTGGGTGACATTTTAAAATAGTGTGTGCACTAATGATTGTCCAGTCACACAAATGAGAAAGGCAATTTTGAAAGATTCCATTCTGGACAGACACTCTGAGCCCAGCGTTGGTTGGTCTCTTCTTGAGGAGGCCTAAAAATAAATTGCAGAAGGAGTTATTCAGACCTCTGTTAAGTGGGAGTTTCAGGTTCTGCAGTGTCTCTTTATCCTGTCCAGTGCCCCTGGATGCTCATTATTTAGCAATGAAAGTGAGGATCATGACACAGAAAGAGGCCATTCAACTGCCCTGACATGTTTCTTTTTGTCGTTTGCTGTAGGTCCCTGAATCACACTAGCCCTCATGATCTCTTGCTCCACGTTCACTGAAGTTCTAGAGTCCTTTCTCCTACTGATTTTTAAAGGCTTCCCTATGTATTTAATCTCTGGCACCCCAACCACTTCGGGCCTCAGTGGCTTTGCTGATTACATGATAAGAAGTGATGCTATTTTTGCCATGTTAACTAGTATCCACTGGACTCAGGGAAATATATCATTACTTCCCCACTGCAAACATAATAAAGGATGGACCCATTACCCTACCATTCCAAGTTTTTTATATTGTGGATACAGTCTATATTTCCAAACTTTTTTATTTGTAGTATATTTCTTATATTTTCTTTTCTATATTTCTTAACCTTTACTTACATATGCCTTTGCTCCAATGAGACTGCTCACTGTTCCTGAGCTTAGTGCTTGGCCACTTTCCTGCTTTTGCTAAAGTTTTCCCTCTGCCTCTACTGTCTTTCCTATTTCTTGTGTTCTCTCTGTTCTATTCACATTTATCTGACGATCGAAACAATATTAGTACCTCCTAAAAACATCTCTTGATCTTCCCCACTAAATGAGACTCTTTCCCACTCTAAACCTGCATGGTGCTTGCCTGGAGCCTTCCCCGTGGAGTCATCCTCATCCACTTCGAGTACTCATTTTGTCACCTAAAATTTCTATCACAGCAGTTTTAACATAGAAGGTGATGGATAAAGATTTCTTGAATGTACAGGAATTATTTCTTTGAAATCCACTGCTTTATTCAAGTAAACACTGAATTCAGAAGCAATTCAAAATGCCCAAAAGTAGAGAAAATAGATAAATGTGTTATAGCACATCAATGCATGGACTGTGCCGCAGTAATTAAAATTAAGTTTATAAAGAAGTTTTAATGCCTCTGGAACATGATTACGCTAGACAGTAAACTCTTAACATCCACAAGGAATTCTTTCTGTTTCCTTCAGAAGTCTATGAATTTTTAATAATAGCATAGTAATAGTAGCTAACTCTTACTGGATATTTCCAACGTGCCAGGGCATCTTGAGCTGTCCTCTATCTTATTGAATGCAAACAAATACATGGGGCCTCAAAATAGTTCAGTGATTTTCCCAAGAGCAAACACTTTAAGCAAGGCCTTGAAATAAGGTGAGTAAGAGAAAGGATACTGAAATTAGAACTCCTGAGTGTCAGTCATGGGGGCTCCATCACTTGCAAATTACTTGCCCTTACTGGGTAGCTGTTTTTGTAACTATACAATGGAGTTATAACAGTTGTGAGGAGCAAACATGGTAAGTAGGTACAGTACTTAGCACGACACCTGGAAATGAGAAAGGTGAAGGAACAAATAAACTATTTGTATATACAGAATCTAGTATTATACCTGGCTAAATAAGTATCTGTGGACTGAATGAAGAAATGGAAGTGGTATCTGAACCCAAATCTGACTGGCATTCTTCATTGAACTCTCCTGCCTCCCAGTGGCATCTTCACCATTGATGTCAGTTACTGCAAACATAACAACAACAAAACACATTGAGTTCAAAATTATGGGCAATCTGATAGACTGATTCTTCAGTTTAAACTATTCATATTTGTCACTTAGAAAAATACAAATCATTACAAGTCAAGGACATTTAGAATAAAGTAAAAACAGTTGAACATGTGAATGCCAAGGACTATTGTAGTGTTAAGGGGAGAAAACTGAAAGTAAATTAGAGATACATAGGATAATAATTGTAAATTTAAAAAATAGGGTTGAACAGCACTTTGGAGGCTGAGGCGTGTGGATCACCTGAGGTCAGGAGTTCGAGACCAGCCTGGCCAACATGATGAAACCCCGTCTCTACTAATAATCCAAAAATTAGCTGGGCATGGTGGCCGGCAACTATAATCCCAGCTACTCAGGAGGCTGAGGCAGGAGAATCGCTTGAACCCGGGAAGCGGAGGTTGCAGTGAGCTCAGACTGCACCACTGCCCTCTAGCTTGGGTGACAGAGTGAGACTCTGTCTCAAAATAAATAAATAAATAAATAAGGTTGGAAATAGACTGAAAAAAACTTTAAAAATAGACCAAAATATTAAAAGAGATTGTATTAGTATTGTAAAATTATGTCTTTCTCTTTTAAAATAGTTTTTAATATTTTTGTATACTATTTAACATTTTATTAAGTTTCATTCTGTTACAGTAAGAAAAAATATTATTTAAAAAACTCAGGTCTTCAAAAGTTAAAAAATTGAATTTATTAGCTCTGACTCTAGAGCATTTTAAGCTTAGATTCAGTTTGAAAGCTGTTGCTTTGGCCAGCAAGATGGATCTTTAATATATATTACATGATTCTGTACAGTTTTGACAGTGATGAATTCAAACTTCAGAAGCATTCTGCAAGGTCACTCAGAGAAGGCAGTGATCACTCATATTTAGGCAGTCATTCTAATGAATATAGTTAGGAATAAAAATGATTTTTACAAGACAAATGCATATCTATGCTTATAAAACCAAATAGATTGACTGATAGCCATTATCCACTAGTAATCTATCTGTATTTATTATCACATATATATGAAAAGCCTAATCAAATGAAGTGCTCAACTCTAAAACTTTTATGACAGTTAACAATTTTTGGGAGGTGTAGGATTTGACAGACTTTTCTGCCATAAATCTTGACATATTTTAGTTATTATTACTCTGGCACAGGAGATAAATGATTACAGGAAATCATAGTCTCAAAAGGTTTACCATTCATAAGTATTTAGACAATTATAAGCAACAAATAAATAGCCCTGATGAAATACAACTGAGGATGATTTGGCATGTCGAAATTCCCTCTAAGGAGGAGTGATGCAACTGTTTTCTTATTTCTGACATTTATTAAAAATAAACTTTACTGTGTATATTTAACATAGGTTATACATGATGTTATGGGATGCATACAGGTAGTAAAAATGTTACTATAAAGAAGCAAATTAACACATCTATTATCTCACATAGTTACCCATTTTTTGTTTTTATGGCAAAAGTAGCTAAAATCTACTCATTTAGCATGAATACTATATACAGTGCAATTTTGTTACCTTTAGTTCTCATGTTGTAGCTCACATCTCTAGACTTAGTATTCATTCTACATATTTGTAACTTTGTATCCTCTGATCTACATCCGCAGCACCCCCACCCCTGGCCCCCTTCCTTCCCCCTCATGCCCTGCCCCTGACAATCACTGTTTTGTTCTCTATGTCTGCATATTTGGATTTTAAAATCCTACATGTGAGATTGTGCAACATTTTCTGTGTCTGACTTATTTAACTTAGCATAATGTCCTCCAGATTCATCCATGTCATGGCAATTGGCAAGATCTCCGACTTTTTAAAGGGGAATAATGAATGATTATGTTTAAATCCATTTACTTGTTTAACAGGTATTTATTGAATATCTCATATGGGCCAAGAATTGCTCTAAGCATTCGAGATAAAGCAGCAAACAAAATCAACAAAAGCCCTGGCCAATTCTGTACTTAGAACATAGGGTAGACATGGGTGGGTTGGTAGAAGGATATATTAAAGAAAATAAACAAACATACAAAGTGTGTACATGTCAAGGACAGCACTGTCTCCATAGAAATTTCCTCAGTGATACAAATATTCTATAGCTGTGCTGTTCAATATGGTAGCCACTGGCTATAGGTGACCATTGAATACTTGAAATAAACCGAGTGTGACTAAAGGGCCTAATTTTAAGTTTTGTTTTATTTCAACAAATTTAAACTTCAATTTGAATAGCCACATAGGGCTAGTGGCTACCGCATCCGAGGATGCAGATCTAGATAGTTATAAAATCACAGAGCGTATGTGAGGGATGGGCAAGGCATAGAGAAGTGATTGCAATTGTAAATAGAGTGGTCAAAAAATGCATCTTGAAGAGACATTTGGGCAAATATCAAAAAGAGGTGAAAGAGCCAGGCTTGCAGATATTTAGATGATAATTGTTTCTGGCATAGGATTGGGAAGTGCAGAGATCCAGAAGTGGATGCCACCTGGCTTGGAAGAGTCATGGAGACCAGTGTGGATACGACAGAGTGAGTGTGTGGAGAAAGGTAGGAGATGAAACCAGAAAGGCCATTGCCAGGGTGGGGAATCAGGAACTCTACCCTAAGTTTGGATGGATGGATGGATGGATGGATGGATGGATGGATGGATGGATGGATGGTTGGGTAGATGATTGATTGATTGATTGATTGATTGATAGATAGATAGATGATAGATTCTTCATCTCAAGTTCACAATTAGAAACTTACAAGTCTCTTAGTTCCTCTGAAGATCTTTGTTGATGTGGAGGCTGGTTAGAAAACTTTACAGAAACATGTTCTTATTTCAGATTCACTGAGTCTAGAATTTTAAATGTTCTGTGATTCTCTAAGTAGCTCTTGGACTTGCATTTCCCCCATCACACTGAGAAACATTTATGACCATAACCCTTCTTAGGCCTCTCCTTGCCCTAGCAAAGTTACTCTTTTATTTTATTGGGATTGAGCTCATCTTTAAAATTCAATTGTGATGGAAACATGTTATAGGAGAACATTTCCCAATTTTAGTAGGCAGATAATACTGTAAAATTAATGAGAATTATAGGTCATAATGCTAAAGGAGATCTGAATACAAAACATTTTGGAATAAAAAACATTAGTTATATAAAACTGTATAGGATGTTAAGGAAATTTTAAGTATTCAGATCTGTCTTGAATATCATCTCACCGAAACATACCTGTCACATTATAAACCTTCTCAATGTATATTGACAGTTAGCCACCATATAATAGACTTTTATTTGAGAAATTGACTTTTTCTATGATTTCATTTTTAAAACAAATCTGATTGCTTTGCAAAGATATTATAATGCCCCCCCTTTCCAAAGTTTATTTTTAATTAAGAAAATGTTTAAGCAAGGCTATAGTTTTTTTCAATTAAACTTCAATAATTTGGAACTGCCATTTTTCAATTTAGTTTTCAAAATTTGTACTTATTTAGTTAGCTAGCTAGGTCATTTCTAAATAGTCCTTACTAACAGATGGAAAAAGATGAGAAAAGGCACTATTAATTGGGTACCTAATATGTGCTGAGGCCTAAAGACAGTCATATTATCTGTCATTTATTGCGTGACACTGAATAAATTTACTGAGTGAACAATACAATGATGAAGAATGACTGTTAATATTATTCTTTTATACATATATACTATGCATTGTAAATGCATTTATCTCATTTAATTTGTATACCAGATTGGCAAGTTCATGAGTAATACTTTCATGATAAAGAAATTAAGGAGATGCAGAAATTTACATAAATATACACAAAAGTAGTACATGATAGAATCAGGACTCAATCCAGAGCCTTTTGACTATAAAAATCTGTATCTTTTTTATTACAGTCTTTGTCTGTAATAAAAATTTGCTAATACCTGAAAAATAATATGTTGCATCTCGGCTTTGCTATTTACTAGCTGTATTTACTACTTCTTACTAAAGTTTATTAATCTTGCTAGACTTCAGTTTCCTTAGCTACAAAATTGTATTATATGAGATAATTCACGTAAAACACACAGAACAATGCTTAGAACAGAGTAAGCTCTCTATACATATTAACGCTTATTAATTATTTTATTTAAAGGTCTGCATATGTACATAGATAATTTAAAAATTTGCTAATCCCATGTAGCTTAATAAAATCGATTTTCTAAGCCTCATGCTCCTTCACCCTTTCCAACCACATCACTCTTAAATTTTAGTCTTTGCTAATTTATAGATTATGTGCAACCAGATACCATTATTAATGAGCTTAAAGGAAAATTAATTAGCTGCCTAATGACTTCCTTCCTCAGAACTGAAAATGATCCTGGATTTCCTCAGATGCTCTGTGATTGCTGCTCTCTGCCTGTAATCAGTGTTTTCAAAAAGATTGACTTGGCATTTAGCTGTCCATCCCTCAACTCCCCAACCCGCTAAAGAACTTGCAGTCTTCCATGACTCTGATGACCTGTTAGCAAACTGTGTTACTTTGTGGTGCAGAATATTGTCAGGCATGTTGATTATGCCATTTGTTTTCACCTTTACTTTTTATTGCATAACTGGCGAAATTCACAGGACAATTTTATACTTGTTCTTGCAGTTTCTGGGAATCCCCTGGATCTTTTTCTTGCAGTTCTGTGTTCTTTCTGGGCTATTCTTCCTCCCCTGTCTCCCATCTTCCACTTATTAATCTCATTTTAGAAGAGAACTAGCTTGTTCTTATCAAATGATTCATTTGGTCTCATGAAAATATTGTCTTCCATCTGGAAGAAATAGTCCAGTAGGACAAAAAAATAAAAACTCTCTATTGAGATGGGGGATTATGATGGCTAATGGAATAACTGGATTCTATTCATCCCCTACCACAAATGAAATGATCAGATCAGTCTTGGTTATGTACAAGTATTAGTAGCAAATATGAACGTCACAGTACAGCTGGGATTCCAGTCCCTACAGCTTTAGCAGTTACATATTAAAATTTAAAAATGAAAGAAATGCAAGAGGAAAGGGAAGGAGATGAAGACTACATTTTTAAACTTACATAAAAACTTTACCCCAAGTAGTGAGTGATGAGAGTAACACTCCAAGATAATGTATCTAAAAAATTAAGATTTGAATAGTTATTTTTTTAACATGGGGAATTTCCCTTCTTATTTTTCTTATTTGCTCCATTTGCTCTGGTAGTGAAGTTAGGAATCTAACTTTGCACTTTGCCTTTGCTACTGATTCACAAAAAATACAGATTAATCTCATTACCAGCGTTGAACAAAGAAGGCCATGTTTCTCAGCTCACAGATCTTTTCCCTCTTAGTATTCTTGAATGCTCTGCAAATTTCCCTCTCCGCTCTTTGGCCTTTGGGCTTGCCAAAGAGTGTCCATTCTTTGAGCTTGCTCTCTCCTTAGGCTTTTTGCCTTCTTAGCGGTTCTTAATTCTCTTCTTTGTTTCTTTCTTGAGCCAGTCCTGAGCTTGGTCCTCTCCCAGACTGCCTTTGTGTTTGCACTCTATGTGGAAATTTCCATGGACCTGCTCATATTTATGCAGTCAAGACCAGGGGCATGTCTTTTATTTCTTTCTTGGACCCAGCAGGGGTTTCCTGCCTGTTTTTGTATGTCAGTTTCTGAGTTAATTGGGCTAATCAATCTAGCGAATTTTCCTGAAGTTGTCCAACACCAAGGGTTATCTGAACAACAGTTATTGCAGCTAATCAGTGGAACCCCTAAGGGTAGAATTTAGTTTTTACTGGGCATGATTTAAGAGGCTGTTCACCCTCTGAAAATTATTTCTGCCATTCTACAATTTATTGGACTTCTGAAAAATATACTTTAAAATGGTAAAATTGTGGATGTGAAAATGCTTAGTAGAGAAAGATGGATATTCAGGCAAGCGTAGAGGTTACAGAGTGGAGAGCACCGAACAGTGTTTAGGAAACTTTGCACTTTGCCTTTGCTACTGATTAGCTCAGTACCTCTCAGCAGTTCCTTGAACTTCATCTTTCTCATCTGTAAAGTGGAAATAATATTATGTCGTGATTATAATGTGGAGAATTTTAATTAGAGATAGATTGTGAAAGTATTTTTTCAAAAATCGTACTCAAAGTTGGGACGCTGGTAGTGGACACAGAATAGAAAGAAGAGCAGGAAGAATAGTAATACCATTCGTTGTAGTACTGCTGGAGGGTAACAATGGAAGCATTTTGCACCCAGTGGCAGGTTTGTGTCATTGATGAATGTCAATTATGCAGTCAGGAGTAAGGACTTCCAGGTCCCTTCGCACAGGCTGTGCACGGTACAACTCCAGGGAGTACCAGCAGCACCTCTAATGTAAAATGTGAGCTCACTAGCTCTTTAATGATTCCTCTATTTATTTTTCAGACATTTTTTGGACACAATGACTAGGCATGACTTCGTGGGGGGGGGGTGGGGAAAAAAGACAAGGAAAACCTTTGGAGTGAATTAGTCTGCCTGGTTTACCATAACAAAATACCACAGACGTGGTGGCTTAAACAACAAAACTTTATTTTTTTAGAGTTCTGGAGGCTGGAAGTCTGAGATCAGGATGCCAGCACAGGGGGTTCTGGCGAGAGCTGTCTTCCTGGCTTGCACACATCCATCTTCTGGTTGCATGCTTATGCAGTAGGGAGAGAGTGAGCTCTCTGGTATCTTATTTTTATAAGGACACTAATCCTTTTCCTTCTCTGATGACCTCATTTAATCTTGATTACTTCTTATCTCTAAATACAGTCACTTTTGGGCTTTGGGCTCCAACAAATGAATTAGGAAGTACTTTGAGGTAGGCAGGCCTATGCAAATCTACCCCAAAGTCAAAGGAAATTGAGAGGCTAAAGAAAGGGCTCACAAATCCAGTTTCTTAAAAATAAACATTTAATAGGGACTTAGGAACAGAATGTGTCTAAGGTAGGGACAAGACAAGACGGTCTCGCAAGAATGGATCCCAGGTGTATAATCCCCCAAACCCAGGAATTATATACAAAGGCACATGTGCTTCAGAGGGAACGTGTAAGAATTTGCCATAAGGACAAGTTTTACATAAGTACATGCTCTTATATAAGGAACAGTAGATAAACTGGAAATTTCAAAGGCCTTCCCAGAACTGGGCTTAATCAGAAGCTAACATGGCAGATAAGCATCAAAGATGGAGTTGCTCCAGCCTCCACAGGGGGAGAGGGGACACAATGTAGTCCACGGCATGGAGTAAGACAGATCTGAATTTAACTTTTGTTTACTAACAATGGGATTAAATTATCTTATTGCCATTTTCTAGCTGTGTGAGGTTGAGCAAGTACTCAAACTCTCTTTGCGCTCCTTTTTTTCTCATTTTCAACTTGGGATCATACTATCTACCACATTGTAGTAAGGATTACCAGTTATGTAACATATATGATAGAAAATAGATGCTTAATCAATACAGCAATCAGTAGGAAGAAAGGAAACTCATTCGTAATGTATTTAATGCTCCAACCTCATTCTGTCACTTGAGATTAAATATGCCTATGTCACTTGAGATGAAATCT